TCGACCGGAGTACACTATTTCCGAAAACAATAATTGGAACTAAACTGATTTGGACTTGGCAAAATACCAGAATATTGAGTTGAATAATCAGTTCCTTTATATCGCCGATTCGTAGGTGTGTGTTTTCTCGAGAAAATGACAAAATCTTCTCAAATGGCCCATTTTGTTGCAGTTGAGATATTTAAAGAAAATTGTATGATTTTAATACTTTTACCTTAACTTTTATCAATAAGTAAATGACTTGCTATTACTAAGCTGGTGGATAAACATAGCTATTAGAACCCTTCATTTAATACGGTTATTTACAGATTTCAGTTGTGGTTTGTTTTAAAATCTGGTTTAAATTTGAGCAATTATTCGAGCAAAACACATCAAATTTCTAGATTGAAGCTGCACATAAAAAGATCAATTTGAATGATTTCGAAAGCCTTAAACTATAGCTTCCAGCATCTCCAGCATTGGCTCGAAAACACATTTTTTAAACAGCAGATCCAGCTTTTTGCTTGTTCCCCTGGCTGGCATTTTCCACGCCATCAAGCATAGATGTATGAATTCAGCCAAGAACAAAGCTGACATAACTTGAACCTATGTCTAAAGATTTCCGTTTAGCACATTAACAACGCTGGAATCCAGCTGGGCCGAAATAGCTAAGCCAAATGAATGTAGCTACCATTGTCGCTGATGTGAATATGTAGCCGGCGGGGTGTAGCTACTGATAAGTATTTGCGAGTGGATTTCAATAAAATCAGACATAATGGCTCATTGTCCTCGTTTGGCATTCAGCGTGCTTCTGCAAACACTATGTCGATCGTTTGTTAAATGAAATGATGAGCTGCCAAAGGGTGTTTCACAACTTGCGATCTCCAAAGGAGAAATCGTTAAATCTAATCGACGTCAAAGCAGATTTTAAATCAGCTGGAAAATATCTGGCCGAACTCGGAAAATCTATTTACAATATGTATTTTTATCATACCGTGAACGAGTGGATGTTTTAGTTTTATGGCACAAGAACCTACTGCGTGCAAAGCGCACTCTAATTTGAAACAAATCCCTTTGTGAATCAAATCACTTCTTTTCAATTGAGATATCAAATTCCATTGAAAAGTAGGTAGATTTTATATGTTTCCATGTCAGTGAGAAATTCGAGTAGGGGGTATAAATTGCTTTTAGGAAATTCTAGTTGTTTCCCAGTCATTATTTTCAAAACAGCCTAATTGATTAAATTATCCGAACATCTTCAGGAACCGCAAAAAAAACCAGACACCTACCCGCAAGGAAAAAGTATCGATTCCAGAAAGGATCTGAATGCCCTAAATGCATTAATAATGTATTTTGTACGTGTTTCGTTTTGTTATTTCTTTTTGTATAATGTATTTGCGTTCCCAAGTGGAATTTTTCTTCGCGGGTATTCTCATATACTTTATCTTTATAGTAATTCAGATCATTACATTTCCCCAATTTTTCAGAAAGAAAACCTAATTATATTAGTGTATAAAAATTTCGCGAATAAATTGGTTTTATCAGAAATTCTTAAGAATTTCTAAGTTGCAAAAATTATTCTCTATTTATAGGTAGGGATTTCATACACAAAATTGAAAAATGTCGCTTTTAACCAAGTCTTTAAAGTCAACAAAAAAAAAACGATTAATTCTCAAACGTGCATGAGATCCTAAATATCAATTCGGCAAAAGGAAATTTCCTGCATAAAAGTCGAGATGTTACTGTTATATCTCTCGTTTTTATTTAATAAACCGCTGGTCTCCTTGTTTTTGCACTTTGCGTTCGCTGTTCTGCAGATATCTACATTGTGGGGTTTTAATTCAATTAGGGATTTTTCTCATTTTGTCTTCCACGAGTTTAAATGCCACGATGCAACTGTAGTACATGCTTTTTTTTATTTTTCTCTGTTTTCCTGTTCTTTTCTTAAATGCGTGGGATTTATTCGATTGCCAACTGCATAGTCAATTCCGTAAAAATTCGGTCATATACCGAATATAAAAATCTATACCCATGTACATTTTGCCATCCAATTGAGTGGTCTCAAATATTGGCTTAATTAAATTGAGTTGAAAGCAAAAACGTATTTTTCAAATGCAAAATTATATGCATTAAACGAAAAATTTTAGTTAATTGAAATAGTTTTCACTAATCACTTCCGATTTGTGTTCGAATTCCATTCTTCCTCTAGTAAGATAAATAAGTTTAGTTTCCAACAAGTTTTGAACGTTAGTCCATTCATTGTAGTATAAGTGGAAAAAATTATAATAAAGAGATATACATGGTGTTCCGTAAATAAGTTAAAATATTTTAAAAGCGTGTTCTACTAGTCATTTTAGAGGGGGGGTCTTCCTGAGAATTTTTTTAATTTCAGGTTTCGTTTCGTTGTTGAGTTATTTCTGTTGTTTTTCTTTAAAACGGTTAAACATAGAAACTTAAATTTTGGTACAGATTATAAGCTAATTTAGTAAAATTTTGTGATAGAGTTTCGTGGTTCAGTTTGCTTTTATACAGGGTAGAGATGTGGAACCCCTACTTTTGTGTGGTTCAAAACTTTTTTGTCTGCACTTCACCTTTTATCGACACTTTTTTTATTACTACAAGTTATTTATCAACTTTTTCTATCTCTTATTGTTTTTTCCAAGATTTCCAAGACCACTAGTTTGCCCGAAAAAAATAAAATCGTTTTCTTTGCCGTTCTCAAAATGTGTAAGTAATTAAGTTAATTTTTTAAAATCTAATAACGTGTTCATATAGCAATTTTGATACGCATTATTAGTTGATTATTGACAACCTAAATTATTTTTCTAAATTGAATATTTTGGTTCAGACTACAATTATTAAGTATAAATAAATTTTACTTAAATCATAACATTGTAACAATATGCGCAACGATATAAACAAACAAAATTAAATTTAAGTAACCATTATAATGTTAACTTAGCAGCTGTTTCAATTGGCCCCCTTGACATTCTTGGCATAATCACAGTCTTTTAATGAAATTAAAATTTACAGACCGTAAAGCTTGCACTGAAGTTCTTATTTCGTTAGAAATATTAAATATTCTTTCCTGAAGTTCTTCGATTGTATTCACTTCTGTTGAATTCACCGTATTTTTTAAATGGCACCAGAAGTAACAATCAAGCGCGTTTAGATCGGGAGATCTGGGAGGCGAGTTTATAGGAGTTTCTTGACCTCTCCCAATCCAACGGCTTGGAAAGTTTTGATCAAGCCGAAACGATTTAATTTTTTTGCGGGCAAACTAGTGCCTTTAAGAAAATCAGTAAGAGATAAAAAAGTTGACAAATAACTAGTAGTAATTAAAAAAGTTATGATGATAAAAGTTTAAGTGCACACAAAAAAGTTCTGAACAAAACAAAAGTAGGGGTTCCACATTTCTATTCTGTATAAAAGTACACTGAACTACAAAACACTAACATAGAATGGCACTCAATTAGCTTATAATGTATCCCAAAATTGACGTTTCTATGCTTAACCGTTTAAAAAAAAACAACAAATACTAATATTTTTCGCCATTTTGGAGTCTCTCCAAATCTCAAAAATGAGACCTCAAATTAAAAAAATTCTCAGGAAGACCCCCTTCTAAAATGACTTGGAGAACACGCTGTTAAAATATTTTAACATATTTCCGGAGCACCCGTTATAAATGATAACCAAAAATATATAATAATAACATAAAAGAAAGGACGAAAGCAATTAACACAGAACCAAGTCAAACTTAACTCTATATTACCGCCCAAAATATTTAAGTGTTTTTAATAGACGCAAATCTCAAAAAGCTGCATATTGTTGACCAACTAAATATGTATAACAAGTCTGGAGAAAATAAATTGTATTAATTTGCTTTATACAGTTCACTTATGTTGTTTGTTGTCTGAAACTACCCGAAAAAATATTATCTAAAATTTCAGCCGTTCCATTGATTTAGTTCCAGAATTGCAAGATTACTTCAAAGTTCGAAAAAAGTTATTTAAAATCTATTCACTAAACTAACATTTTTGCCAGCCAAGCCTGCCTTATCTGCTTTTGGAAGATGAATGCGAACGTGCCAATTTTCAATCGGCATTATTAGCCCAGATCTTTGAATTCCCAGCAGGAAAGACAGTGGAAATTGCATTACCGGCTTATCCTGCTATCGCACTTAACCGTTCAATCTGATATAGCGACGGATTCGATAATATATTTTCGCTCGTTGCCAGTTATATGGCAATTGGTCATAGGCTTCAGCTATTTAGATATTTTACCGTGAAACGTTTTTTAAATTATTGGACAAAACACCAGTTAAGAAAATTTGATGATTCGCCTATTTCACGAAACTATAGATAGACAAAACAGCAGAGTAAATGAATAAATCATAAAGTGTGTAACAACCAGTTGCACAAAGCCGAGGAAACTTATGCAAATTCCAGTAACCCGGAAAACACAGACACTGAAATATTCTTGGAATAATATAAATAACCAAATAATCTCACCGGACTTTCATCGTCTTGTAACAAATACTTAGCAATGGAAGGTTTCGGTTCGCAGCTTTATTCAACCATTTTAAGTGTACAATAAATCGCTATCTCAACAGTGTCTTGAGAATTTGCGAGTAGATAAAGCAACAGAACATAACATTCTAGAAATCAACTATCAACCACAACTAACAGAAACAGTTGATTAAAAATGTGCCATTAAAATAGAATGAAAAAATATAAAAGAACACCGAATCTTCGGATTGTTGAGCAACTTTTAAAAGGGAAATGCTGTAATGTCAAGGCGATAGAACCGAAACGAAAGAGTTGAGTGAATGAATAAAAAATGTTGCTTCCGTTATTTTAGCTCTTCAAGCTGTTTTAAGCTCTTTACTAGAACTTTCATCAGCTAATTCCGAAAAGAATATTTTTAATTTACTGGGCATTTTTCATTCAAGTTATACAACAAATTCGCAATTATACTTTTTTTTTCGATTGGAAAGCGTTATTAAATACGTAATTACTTACCTGATAGTTGTGTGACACCCCAAAAGCAAGTTACAGGAAAACCGGGCGCATCTGAAATACAAGAAAATATTATCCATTCGAATTACTTTGCACTCACTAACAAACTCGAAATGTAGTTGGTTTCGTTTGAGTGTCACATTGTAAATTTTTGTTCAGTTTTTAATTATTTTCTACTTTTTAATAGTAAAGTAAATTTATCTGCAACTTTCCTTCATTGAAATTGACCCACAAATATAAATAATGGACAAAATATCTATTTAAATGTAAAAAATAAACGTAGGTTCAATTTGAGTAAATGAAGCAAAAAAAGCCAAACTCATACAATTTGGGCACTAGTAAAAAAATAAATATTGGTTGAAGTAAAAAGGGGCATACAAGCCAAAACAATATTGAATTTCTAATAGAGTTTCATTCAGAAAATATTCAGTTTTAGCAATTTAAGCGATTTGAAATCCACATTTTACTCAAGGTAAGATGTACAACGATACAAAAATTGCAAAATTTCCTCCTGCAAATTGCCCCACAGATGAAAATGATAGACAAAATGAATCTACTTAAAAGGAAAAAAGCATACTTATGTTCATTTTGAAGAAATGAAGTAAAAAAACCATATTTATACAATTTGGGCAAGCCAAATATAAAAAAATACAATGTTGACTGGAAAAAGTATAAATCGGTAAACAAATCAACTCAAAATTGAATTTCCAGTTCAATTTTGAGTTCTTCTCATTCGAAACTGTAGAGGGTTTGAGTTTGAGTCCAAATTTCAAAAATCAACCAACAAACATCACTTGATAGTGAACCAAAAAAAAAGTTCTAGCATATTAAGCTACTTGAACTCCACATACTCGATAACATTTTACTCAATGTATAATAAGCAACTGTTCCCATGGTAGGTGTTTTTAGATTAGTTGTAAATCTTAATTTTTGGCCCTTTTTTTAGAAATATTTATTTAGAGTCAAAAGCTAAAACAATGGAACAATAAAGTTTACAAGTTTTCACCTCTGAAACGCTCTGAAGTTTAACCAAACAAAAAACATAAATTGCGTTGGAAAAATTGTTCTTTGCACTTCAGAAAAGTAGTTGTGAAATTACAGTTAAAAATATAAATAATGGTTCAAAAATATCTAGTATTATTGACTGATACTTCAAACGCAATAATTCTAATAGTTTCACGCACATGAAAATAAAAGCAAGTCTGGCGAAAAAACACCAGCAAGCTGTGATCGACTTATTGACAGGAATATCTAAGCACTTTTGCCTGGCACTTCCTTAATTAACTATGTTTTTCACGAAATTATCTGATTTTCCGCATAGAAATCAAACGATACAGGACTGTTTCAAGCAAAATTGTCAAATAATTGTCAAGAATTTCAAAAATTATAAGATTGAATCTTTATTATATTAGTTTAACTTTATTTCAATCCATTTGACTAATAATTACAGCATAAAATTTACTCCCAAAGGCAAATAAATTATCAAAAAATGAGGCAAATAAATTAAGCATTGGATCGATGAACTTGAAGACTTAGGCAAACATGACGATTCTGGAGTCAAAAACATGTGACTAATAAATCAACATTTCCATTTCTTTTTGTCAATTACGTTTTATTGATATTTTCAAAATGTGCTGTTCGGCGTTAAATGCATGATCATAAAACTTTTTTTTTGTATAAAAATACAAGTCTGAATCTAACTAAAACACAACAATAATAAATTGTCGGCATGATGTTTAAAATAACTTAAAAAAATAGAATAGTCATGAAGAACATTGAATAGAAGTTAACTGACTGACTTTCAGTGGGAAATTTCAGTGAAAAATTTAATAAATGTGAATTGTTATTTGTACACTTCGACTCAACTTGAAATCGAAAACACTATCAGAAATCGTCAGTTAAATGTTGAAAATTTTAATAGAACTACAACTTACAATAGTTTTCAATTTACTTTAATTAAACAGATCTGACACGCCTCTGAGTGGTTGTTAGTTCGATATTTTCATTCGCGACAGCTGGAAAGTACGGTTTCCTCATTTAGCCCGCATATTTATGCCTGTCTACGCTCTACCGTCCTATTAAGGTGTCACTTGAGTTTGTTTAGTGCGAATTAGTTTCAATACATGTGGCGGAATATGTGCGCTTCTTCAAAGTTTTCAAACAGCATTTGCTGGTAATTTTCGCAGGCTCGTTTCACGTTTTATGCAGGTTTTCCGAATGCCGTTTCCAACTGAATATTGTGACCGGATTCAAACAAAAAATGAGTATCGTCTACCAGAATCTGATATTAAGTTATCAGAGGACTGAGACCATAATAATACAAATGTACGAACGTCCAAAGTGTTCACAGCTAAAATAAAAATAAGAAACAATTAACAGCAGATTAAGTATTAACGTCAAAAGTAGAAACTGGCCTATTTTAGAGCAAACAGTATTTAAAAGATAGAGCAAAACAAATCACAGGAAAATATGAAAGATGCAAATATATCGAATACAACAGAACACACAGAAACAAATAACCAAAATCTAAATATAGAGACATTCTTCACTGAATTAGAAGAATTTAAGGTTGGAAAGGCGAATCAAGCCTGAACATTTCGAAAAGCAGAAGATGAATAAAATATATGAAAAATGAGCAATCTGAGATATTGCAGAAATACGAGTACTATAAGACAGAACTTAAAGAAACAGAAAACTGAAGACAACTTTAAATGGATAGCCAATAAATAATTCAAGTAAAATAAACCGTCTATGAAGCAAGAAAAATGGAAAAAGCTGAAAACGCTTAACCTTCACCCAATATGAATTAGTGATCCAAAATTAGATACATTTACATACATTTAACGCATATTATCCGTGCAAATATAAAAGTTAATATAAGCGTAGGTTTATCAAAACTTTGTTTCCAGTAAATTATTTATTGTCGAGATTTTCCATATTTAATTACGTACGAATTTTCTTTTGAATCTCCTTTTTGTTGGGTTTTATTTGATTTGATTTGAATAGGAATAGGAATTGTTTAGTTTTGCTGTTGCTTGCAATTTGTCGTTTTAATATTTCTTCCTGTTCTATGATGAGTTTCGTTTGAGACGTAAGCTTGCAATTTTGCATTTCATTTTTATGCATAGTTCGCATCATTATAAAGGAACCGAAATCTGATTAAAGATAGAATAGCAATGCAAAAGACAAAAAGTCCCAAATTGAATAGAAAATTACAATTTCTAGAAGTACGTATAATCAGTAACCGATCATTAGAGAGATTGTACGGGTGAGAGTGATCATAAACCCAGAAAAAAATGCACGCCACCAACTACCAAAAACAATAATCACACAAAAAACGTATTAAATGTAAAATGGCAAAATATTGACGATTTGAATCGCAGGAACAAGAAGAAATAAGCAAAAGATGGAGCTGGAAGACCCTGCATTCGAAATATTAAACTCACAATAATGAAATCCGTGCATTTTTTGAGGATCTCGCAACGGCCTATGACACCGTACCTATAAAGAAATGAGTAAATTTAATACTATTTCTTGATAACCACTATTAATGGCTTAAGCATGTATGCGACCTCGCACTAAACCTGAATTAAAATTATATTTTAACCAGGTTGTACATCACAAACAATAAGTAATATGTACTAAGAAAAAGTAAAGAAATCTAATCATTATTGCACAATACTGTAAGTTTGAATATTAAGCGGGTGACATTGTAAATATTCTATTATTATTACTAGTATTTCGCGCCCAATATTAAAATTTACAGCCGTGATTGATGAAACTTTAGCTTCACTGCCTATCAGCTATAGCCTTTCAAAAATGTGTCTCTACATCCAAAAAAGATACACAACAGATTTTTAATAGAAACTCTCATGATAGCAATATCGACATATAATGCTCAGCATCCAAGACATGTAATGAATCACACGAAGAATAGCCTTAGTTTAAACAACTGAGCTAAATTGATGTGCAAAGCTTTGTCTTTGTGGCTAATGGATACCTCCGACAGCATCTGAGTGCGGTGATAAGCCAAGTTGATAGTCAATTTCAATAAAATTACACATAATGGCTTTTGTGCTCGGACAAACTTGTGTTGGACATGTCGGTCTCGTTTAGTTGTGCAAAAGAGTAATTAATTCGTTGTATATATTTTCGTTTTATTATCGAAATTAATTGGTATTTGAAAACAATCAAATATTATGTAAATATTAATATGTTTCAAGGATTTTTTGGACTGAAGTTTCGACAAGGTGGATATGTATGGATATGCTGATAGTTACTTATTCATTACTATGTAGGAACCATAAAGTTAGGGTTATATCAAAAGGAGCTCTCAAAAGTGGTTTAAAGATATGGAGATTAAACGGAATAAAATATGTTTTTTTCAAGTTAATGTCTAATCTGTGTAACATTTCTCGATTACTCTCAATAAACTTATATGAAGTATTTATTCATCAGTTTAATGAAGTAATTATCTGCCGGACGCATCAGTTTATTAAAGTCGAAGAATTGCGAGTAAAAAACCATAAAAAACATTCATTCTTTATGGAATGGAAAATGCTTCTAGTCCTGCGGTAAAGAAAATTTTCAGATAATTGCATAATACAGTTATAATACAGAATTAGCACTGCCCTGAATGCTTAACTTGCCAATTTATATTTCTAGTACGAAAATTGAAATTAATTATTGGAGCTTGAAGTTCTTCATGTCTTAATTGAGGTACCAGTTTCTACAAAGAAAAAAACTAGAAACTCTTAATTAAAACATAACTCCTATGAAAGAATGCAAATAAGCAATATAAGTAGGATGACAAACTATTTGTGAAAACAGTAAAATTGAGCAATCCTGAGGCCCGTTCCAATAATTCGATTCGCTCAATTCTACCATTTATAATACACATTGCCAATTTCGAGAAATTTTATCGAGTATTTCCTTCAATATAAAACTGAACTCGCATTTCAAAAACGAATTAAAAACTTTTCATTTTAATGAATTAGCAAAGCAATTCTAAAGAGTAACAAGATACCTCCTTACTTTTCAATTTTCAAAGGAGA